ATGGATACCTTGATTTTGCTCTAATTATTGTTTGTTCCTGGAAAAATATTGAACAAGGAAACACATTTTCCATTTTAAAACATCAAGTGCCTTGTGTAATTTCATTTGGTGCAAAGTGGGTGATTATCTTGGCCAGAATTATAAAAACGTTCATGTGTGGCATAATTTGTTCAGCAGTATTTGTTGTAAATATTTATCTAGGACTACATGGTGTCCATAGAAATGACCCCTCCATTTCTACTAGACAGACTCAAATAACTTTCCAATTCTGATTTAAACTAGTTGCAAATCTAAGTGGGATTGCTGAAGTGATTTATGTAGTAATTGAATCTTGAGTTTTAGAAAGAACAACAACCTTGATTTGCTTAGTAAAAAAAAAAAATCTGTTGAGTAAGAGAGGGTGGGGGTGGGGGATGGGGGAACTAGAATACCATGGCCAGATATTAAAGCACATCACTCTCATTTTACCAGAAGGAGATTATCTGAATTACAGCACTTAGAATGCAGAATCCAGAATATCGCAAATTGAAGATTCCTGTGACTCTGTGATATGTTAAATTAAGAAATTCTAAGCCAAGGTTTAGTGTTTGTTCATTCCATTCTCAGTTGTTGTGTTTTTTTTTTTTTTCATTTAATTTCAGGCAACACATTCTGCTTCATTATGTCCAAGTTGAAGCAAATTTGCTGCCATTCTGCAGCCAGTTGAGCTGCTTTTGTAATGTTGTTCTTGACCTACTGCTGGGACCATAACTTTCATACATTCAACCAATTGGTTCAAGTGTTTCACATTTCTTTGTACCATTTGTGTAATGCCTCCCTGGCTAGAAATTACAGTGTTTGAATTATTACTACCTAATGCCATGTTTAGTCAGAATCTTTTTTGTTGTTGTTGTTTAACTATAAAGCATTATTGGACTCCCTTCTAAAATCCAGACCTAGTTGTATCTTCCAGTCAGTAACAGTCAATTCTCCCCTCCCCCTCTACTATCCCCTATTGTTCCCTTCCTATCTTTTCTTTTCCCTTTTCCTTCATTCCCCTTTCTTCTCCTATCCTCTATTTTCTTTCTTATTTGGGCCTGAAATTAAAATGGAGTATGCCCAATGGGAATATAATGCACTTGGACTTCTGAATGATTTTGGAATGCTGTCCAATATACCTAGAAACTAAGGTGTACAAGGAAGTCGTGTTCACTCACATGATGCTATATATAAGATGGTATAATAAATTTAAAAAAGACTCACTATACAATACAAAGTGAGGGGGAACAGTCATTTGTTCTTAGAAATAGAACTGCTGCATTTATTTTACTTGTCAATTCATCAGTTTCACACCCATTTTTGATAAAGTTTTATTGTGGTACCCACAAAAAAAGACCATAGGAACATCTGAGTAATTTTATATCAAATTTGTATGTCAAAATTGTACATCAAAATTGCAATTTTATAATTTGAAATTTAGGGGAGATTCTCAATTGTATTCTTGTTTTTTTTTCTTGTCACTTTGATAAACTACATGGCTAAAATAACTAATGATGGAAAACTCTTATTTTGGCCCATGCTTTGGGATGACACAATCTATCATGAACGCGAAGTCATGCCTGCAGATGACTCCATGGTATTAAGTGTCTATAGCTGGAGCCCTTCACCTCTTCATATCTTAGTGAAACAGGAAGCTGAAAGAGGACCAGAAATGGGACTGGGCACAAACTTCAAGTCCCTTCTAGTGACCTCCCTCTAGCTAGGCTCTGCCTTCCAGAGGTTCAACCTCCCCAAACAACACTACCAGCTGGGGGCCAAGAGGAGTTCAAATCATTGGTTGGGAGATACCTCCCATTCAAACTATAAAAAACATCTTTCTTTCTTTCTTTCTTTCTTTCTTCCTTCCTTCCTTCCTTTCTTTGTTTCTTTCTTTTATCCTTTCTATTTCTTTCTTTCTCTCCTTTCCTTTCATTCCTTTCTTCATTTCTGTCTTTCATTAAGTCTCTGACTGTGCTTTCCATGGCAACCCATCCTCTTTATTACTATTATTGTATTTTTTATTATTTGAAACCATTTTAAATTTAAATATATTTTGATCATATTCTTCCCTTCCTCCAAGTCCTCTCCCCTCTCTATTCACCCAAATGTAAGTTCTTTCCAAAAAGACAAATAAAAACCAAATAGAACAACAAAACTTCTCTCAACCAAGAAAACAAAATAAAACAGACACCCCAGAAAAAATACCATATTGTATCCAAATCAAAGCGCGCACAAACACTCTCTCTCTCTCTCTCTCTCTCTCTCTCTCTCACACACACACACACACACACACACACACACACACACAGTGGAATCCATAATATGTTGATCAAGTACTCCTGATCATGAGGCCTTTCCTGGAGTGGTTGATATACCCAGTATCACTCCACTGGAGAAAACTGTCAGTATTATCAATTCATAAATCCCTAACTATACATAATGTGAGTATATATAGGCCTCACAGTTTAAATCTCTCAAAATATGTAGGCTGAGGAAAGCTTGTATTTGAAGAACAAGTAATTTTAGAACTCATAAAAGGAAAGAGTGAAAGCAAATTATGCAGACATAGGGAGGGGCAGGCCAGGCACAGGAACTGGCCAGTTCTAAAGGGCTCTAAAGCAAAAGCAAGCTTGGAAGAGCAGAGACCAGCATGGCTGAAACAGAGACAGTGGAGGGTAGTGTTTAGAAGATGAGGTCAGATAGGCCACTGGATGAGATCCTATTGGAATTTCTAAGGTATCTAAAGACTGACATTTCACTGGAGAATGAAATTTCATTGGAATGTATAGAGATAAGGCACATGAAGAACTGATTTAAATTTTAGATGAAGTCTTGTGTTATTCTCTGTGCTGAGAATGTTAGAAGAGTGAAGGGAAAAGCTAGGTGATCAGTCAGGAAGCCATTGCAAAAATAAGGTAATAAAGTGGCTTGAAGGTGCAGTGGTGGCCAGTAGCTTTGTCCTGGATATATTTTGAAAGTGGAGGCAATACAATTGCTGGCATTTTATTTAGATACAAGAATACATAAAGTCAAGTTTTTGAATGAAAATAGATAACACGGATGTGTTTAAATGAGAAAACCAAGAATTTCCTTTGAATCATGTTTAGTGATTTCTATTACACATCAAGAAGGGACACTGTAGAGGTGATCAGTGTGAATCATAAGAAAACAGTTACAATTGTATTTAAAATGCTGTAGTAAAATCATTGTTTTAAGTGTTACCCCAAATTCTAGGTTTTTTTTTTTTTGTTTTTTTTGTTTTTTTTTTTTTTTTGTTTTTCGAGACGGGGTTTCTCTGAAGACTGTCCTGGAACTAACTGTCTTTGAAAACCAGGCTGGCCTCAAACTCACAGATATCCACTTGCCTCTGCCTCCAGAGTGCTGGGATTAAAGGCGTGTGCCACCAGCACCCAGCTCAAATTCTAGTTCTTAAAAGATACAATTGACTAAAAGGGTTTTGGGTATGCCATCAACAATATATTTCCTTGGTCACCTCCCCAGCTACTCAATTTCTCTCTTTTCCTTCACAGCTTACCTCCTCCTATGGTTGTCTTCTTTCCACTTCCCATTCATTCTTCAGTTCTCTGCATCAAGTTTAATGCCATTGTTCCACAAAATTTGCTCTTTCTAATGTTACTTGCCACTTTCACTTCTCATAATGCTGGATGTTGTCAGTTTTTGAAACTGAGTACCCACAAATGGACTCTTTCCTTAGAATTTGTTTCCTCATTTTTCAATTTCTCATTTGTAATGGATGCAAAAACTATGTGTCTTGCTGAATATCATGGTAGACAACTAAAATCCAACCACTTGGGAAGCTGAAGCCAAAGGATCACAAGTTCAAAGCAAGCCTGGATTACATTAAAAAATAATTGCATGACAGGGCACACCTTTAACTGCAATACTCAGGAGAAAGAGGCAGACAGATTTCTGTGAGTTCAAGGCCAACCTTGTCTACATAGACAGTTCCAAGATTGCCAGGCCTATCTCAAAACTAAAATGAAATGAAAGGAGGAAGGAAAAAATCCTGCCTCTCTAAGCCAAAATTCTTTCCCTTAGCAGTTGGTCTACAGATTCTGGTATCTACCTCTACGTAAGAGCCTTGGCTGTCTGACCTGGAATTCACTCTGTAGACAAGGCTGGCCTCTTAAAACTCAGAGATCTACCTGCCACTGCCTCCCGAGTGCTGGGATTAAAAGCACTGCCTGACTACAGAGTTCTTTCTTAACCACCCTATCCAAAACAAATTTCCATCAGCATTATTGAGGATCCCACTATCCTCTTGATGTCCCTTATAGTATTAATCACAGTCTGTAATTATCTTTATTAATTTATACAATTGTTGATTGTCTTTCCCCAAACAGAATATGGGAATATAGACACCCTATCTTTTCTATTAATTGATCTCCATCTAACACTTTGTATATGGTTTGATACATGAGAAGCTTAAAAACATCAACTAGATGAATGAAATGATTCTGCATTAAATATAGTTTGATACTGATAAACAAATATATCCTGTGGTTTTAAAAATCAAGAAACATTTTAATCAAATGGTCTGATGGCAACTATTGAGATGATTTCGTAGTTTTTCTTTTGTGATCAGTTACTATGGCAAATTATATTAATAGACTCTCTAGTATCCAACCATTCCTAATTTCTAGATGAAACATTTCTATGTTGAGCATTGTTCTTTTAGTATATTGGCAGATACTCTTTCTCAAACATGTATGATACTGATACATAAACCTTACAGAGAGGCTATAAACCTCATTACAACCTAGTCACACCAATTAATATTGATTTGAACATCACACACATATATACAAATAGAATCCACCAAAACATTAAAACTTCAACTCCCCAACCATAGAAAAACATGTGGAGGCTGGAATTTTGCAAACTTTGTTGTAGGCAGGGTTTTTTTTGTCGGAATCACCAGCTCCCCATTAAATGACACAAAGACTTGTAAATTATAAATGTTTGAGTGAGAGCTTAACCCATATTTATTACCTATGCTCTATCATGTGTCTGGGTACCTTTTTTCAACATGGAATGTTCATCTTCTTTCTCTCCAAATCTCCTGGCGACCTTGCTCTCTTTCATCCCTGTGCTTTTTTTCCTGCCTGCAAGTCCCACCAAATCTCTTCCTGCCTAGCTATTGGCCATTTAGCTCTTTATTAAACCAAAGACAGCCACACTCTTCATAGTGTACAAAAAGTTTGTTCCAAGGCACTTTTTTTTTCACAGACTCTTTTGCTTGTTTGCTGCCTCTCATGTGTTAGTAATAGGAAGAGAAACTGGAGGAAAACTGAAGTCTAAGTTCAGTGAAGATGGGCTTTTTTTCCGGTGTTCTGTTCTTGTCATATTTCCACTCCAGCAGCAGAATGTGGGTCCAGCCTGCGTCTTCTTGTGCTTTCAGAGCCAGCTTCATGGTTTCTTCCAAGTTGTAGCAGCCATAATGATTTTCTTCTCAGCTCTGGGTCTCAGCTCTGAATGAACATAGTGACAAAAGTAGAAGTTGAGCATAGCATACCTAGGACTTAAGCCTGAGCGTTAGGTTTGTCCGGCCTCTGCAGTAGGCTCTTAGATTTGGATAACACCAACCTCTTCCTTATTTCCCTGACCTGAGGAAGATGTGGCTGTGTATTATAGCTATTATGTCCACACTATCCCCACACCCTTTATTCTTTCAGCACCTTAGTACTTGAGTTATGAATCTATGACATTAAACTTCTCTGTTAGAAATTTTTGTTTCCTGGAAGGATGCTTAGTGATACACTAATCTCGGTTATTAGTCCATTTGGGTTTGTAAAACTTTTCTTTCTAAAAATAATATTCTTTTCATCTACAGAGCTAGGTTAAATATTTACTTTTAATTCTTTCAAGTTCTCTGTATGTTGATAATTCTAATCTCATATGTAGATTTTTTCTTGTTAATCCTTTTTTCTTTTTATTTACACTGCCTTTGTTTTGTCCTTTTTCTAAGGAACTGATATTTAAATACATCTATGAATTCTTTAATAGTTCTATTTACTATAATTTTATTTATCTAATGAATTGATTCTTCCTTTCTGTTTTTTTTTGCTTATTTTTAGCTTCTTAACTGAGTTATCTAATCATTTGTTCCAATCTTTTCACATTTAATTAAGAAGGATTTTTAAGGATATAATATTTTCTCTTGATGTAGCTGTTCTAATAATTCTTCATTAAATATATTCTATTCATGGCTTTTATATAGTCTTTGGCCTAAGAGTTACTTTGGTGTTTTAGAAGTCCTATATTATACTCTTCCATTTACCATGGTCTTGTTTTCCAAACTTTCAGTCAACTGCTTTTAGTCAGCCATAGATGGAAAATATTATGTGAAAAAGTTGCCGCAATAATAATTTATGCCACTCTGACAACTTTATGAAATCTCATACCTTTCTGGCCATTCCTCCTGGCCTGTGACTCATTTTTGTGCAGTGCATCCATACTGTGAAGAACCTCTCTTTTACTCATTAATTAGCCATCTTGTTCATCAGTTGGACTGCTACAGTGTTTCAGTTTCTGTATTTTACTAGTAATGAGCCAGTCTGCACGTTTAGGAATATCCATGCTTCCTGGCAACAGTATACTTAGAATATGTTGTTCTACTTTATTATTGTTTATTGTAGTTAGTCTTATTGCACTCATTTGTAAATTAAACTTTATCACAGCTGTGTATGCATAGGAAAAATATAGTGTATAGAGAGTTCAGAACTATCTCAGGTTTTAGGCATCTACTGAGAGTTTTAGAACATTTCTCACAAAAGAAAGGAGGCAGCTGTAATAAAAGTGGGCTCAATTTCTGTTCATTAGTAATAGGTTTTTATTATATTGCAGGGGAAAATATATACTATGTGATTTCTGCTTTGGTGTATTTATTAACATTTTCTTTGCTTATGCTTTATCCCTCAGTACTAATATATATTTTCACTTTACTAAAGCTAAGTTATATTGTAATGTTTTTTGGAAGAGGCCATATTAGCAGTAATTATTGACATCTTACAGTTAAGATTGGCAGCACTTTCCTATTGCAACATAAGACTATTTAGATCCTACAAGCTGATGGCAGTTTGAAGTGATAATTGTGTTATATTTAAATTATTGCAAATTTGTAATATACCTTACTGTTTCTATTAAAGGAATGAGAACAAGTGTTATCTTTGCTGTACATCCACTATTGGAAAATTAATAATATACATCTGATTGTGACAATGTATTGGAATTGAAGACACATGTTAAAATGACTCAGCGCGTATCTGTAGAGTTCCACATTTTATCAATAAACATTCTCTTTGCCATCTTAATGTGTTTTTCTCTTGGTTTTGTTTTATTTTAACCCATAATTAGCATATTTTAATCTTAGTGACTTTTTTCACTTTGTTTCCATTTTTCTGCAATGTTTTTTTGATGGTTATTTAATTTACATATACACATGTCAAATTTTTTGGCAATTGGATTTTATCAGACCCCACATTACCTCAGTTTTATCTATTGGTCAGCTGGATCTTTTAATCAGATGAGGTTTTTTTTTTTTCAGAAAGGACTATTGGATGTAGTAGCTTCCTAGTTCAAATATACAAACATATATATTATATGATGTATGTACCATGCATAATTTGAGACAGGGTCTGTGAGGAGCCGCACTCACATTCGCCATTACAAGATGGCGCTGACATCCGCTGCCGGATCAAGTAAACAACGTTGGTATGCATGTGCTCAGTGTTTTTCCACTGCCTAGCCCCGCCTATTCCATGGCGTCATATAGGGTGACGAGTCATGCACCTATCCCAGCTGTACACGCATCGCTCAGAGTTTGTGAGCCTTTATTAGGGGACGGGATTCTTGGCTCGGGGTCTCCGCTTTTGTAAGCTTATGCTCTCTCTCTCTCAAGACGCATAAAGCTTTACTGCAGAAGGATCCGAGTGTCCTGTGTTGTTCTTGCCGGCAAGACTATCACGCGGGACAAGGGTCTCATTATATAGTCCTGGCTGTCCTAGAACTCACTCAGGAGACCAGGCTGGCCTCGAACTTACGGAGATCTGCCTGCTTCTGCCTCCCAAGTGCCAGGATTAAAGGTGTGCACCACCATCCCCCACCTGTTCTTGTACCTTTTAAAACACTGTTTCAAGCACACCATGATAAACATCTAGGCTGGCTATGACTTTATCAGGTCACATTTTCCTTCAGAAGTCTGAAAATGTGAGTATCCACACTGGTTGAATGATCCTGTGGAGAAGTCTGAAGCCTCCCTGATTTGTTCCAGCTTTGTTTTAAGGATATCTATAAGGTTGAATGTAGTCACTGAAAATGAATAACTTCAGCAGTAGATTATTATTTACCAGGCTTACTCACCTTTGTCCTTGAACTGACATACCTTTGAAACCTATAAATTCACATCTTCCTTTACTCCAAAACAGTTTCCTTTAATTGTATCACTGAATATTTTTGTACTTTAGGTATTTTATTCTTTTTCCCCTGTAGTGTACTAATATTCCTCTGTCTCTCTTCTTCCCTCCATTTCCTTTTATGCTTTTATCTTTGTCCAATAATATTGCATGTTTACCACACTGTTTTCATATTTCTTGTTTCTAGTATAGAAATAGCTGTCTTATGTTTTTTTCAAGTCAGCTATGTTCTAGTTTTTTGGGGGGGTTCAAGGCAGGGTTTCTCTGTGTAGCTTTTGGAGCCTGTCCTGGAACTCACTCTGTAGACCAAGCTGGCCTCAAACTCATAGAGATCTACCTACCCCTGTCTCCCAAATGCTGGGATTAAAGGTGCAAATCACCACTGCCTATGTTTTAATGTAGACTTCATTTTTTTCAAGCAATGCTTAAGTCTCAGCACATCTGGGTAGAAAGTAGTTTTCATACATGACTGTGTCCACACACTGCAGTTTCTCTTGCTAAAAACATCCTGGGCTGTTGTAGCACATTTATTACCATCATTGAACCTACACTAACAATCGCTGTCACCTACAATTCATTGTCAACATTCCAAGAGTGGTTTGGATTTCTCTATTTCTTTCATTATTAGCCATATTTTCTGAGTTAAGCAGGCACACCTTGAATCTCTCTCTCAGTATCTTATCTCCACTATCTTTCTTGAACCCTTTCCCTACTCCTCTTTGCAATCTTCCTATGTAACGTATTTATGTTGTGTATTTCTATTTAATTGAGGCCAGCTACATTTTCCCCTTGTTCATTTTTGGTGCCTTTCTGTTCTAACTTTTTATCTAACCCATAATGAAATTACACTGGCTTAAATGTAGACTGTAGTTTACATTAATGTAGTTCCTGCACTGGCTCAGTGAGTAAATACACCTGACACTAAGCCAGATGACATGAGTTCAATCCTTCACATCCGTTTGGTGGAAGTAGAGAACTGACTCCAGGATGTTGTCCTCTGACCTCTATCTATACCCATGCCATGGCATTTGTGCAACCACACCCGGACATGTATGTGTCCCCAAACACAATACAAAAAACCCCCACAAATTGAAAAATAATCCAACACATTCTGTGTCACATTGCTGCTCAGAGAGCAAATCTGTCCAATGAGATGAGAGAAAAAATTTCTCGGTGGCTTTCTAGAAAAACTGGTAAAACAGGAAAGAAAATATTGGAATATATCTTTTGCTGTTGTCCCAACCTACTGTCAATAAATCAGCCGCATTTTTCAGGTGCAAGACCCATTTATCATCATAAGGAAAATAGCCACACATATGGGAAATAAAGCATGAATCTCCCAGAAACATGGGTGTAAATGACATCTATGAGCAGTCATTCAAGCCAAGAGCTGTCTATCTTTATCTGTCTTGTTATATTAGAAAATTTTATCTCTATTTATTCAAGCTACTATGCTTAATTTTCTGAGACATACAGCTGAACAACATACTGATGAATGTCTCATATATAGTCTATAAGAGTTCTTTAGGGTTGCTATAACATAGCACACAAAGTTGGTGGTTTAAAACAACAGAAGTTTATTCTCTCCACATTGTGGTAGCCAAAGGCTCAAATTCAAGCTTTCAATATTTATTTCTGGGAATTTCTAAGAGAGAATCTATTCTATTTTTCTCCTCCTGGGTTCTGGTGGCTTATATATGCATCACCCTAACACTACTTTTGTTGTCTCATGGCCTTCCCCTCTGTGTCCTTGCTTTTTGTGTTTTATATGGAGCTAGCCATTGGGTTTGGGGTTCATGCTAATCTGGGATAACCTCATATGGAGATCATTGCCTTAATTACAACTGTAAAGATTTTTATTCCAAATGAGCTCATATCAAGTGGGTGGATACATGCAAGTGGATATGTCTTTTTGGAGGGTATTTTTCACCCATTTACGGTGTATACTTTTCAACATATATAAATGGGATTTTATTAATTTGTAATTTTATTTTTGAGGAGCCCTCTTACAAATTGATTTATCTAGGTCTCACTTTTTGCTTGACTCTACTCCATCT